GCTGGGGCTGGGGGGGCCCCCGCCGGCCCCCGCCCGCCGCCCGCAGAGCTCAGGTAACCGCGGCCCCGACGAGGGGAGCGGAGGGTCCTGGGGACGCGGGGCTCCCCTGGCGGGGTCTGCAGCTCCCCGGGGGCTGAGGGTGCCCTGTGCGCGGTCCCGGGGGCTGCACCAGTTCTGGCGGTGGGTGTAGTCCCTATCGTAGCCTCTGCAGCACCTAGAGAAGGGACAGGGTCTCGGGAAGGTACTGGGTGCATCCTGCCCTGCTGTGCTCCCCCATCCATCCTGCAGCACCCTGGGGTGTTGGAGGGGGGCAGAGGGTCCCCTGCCAGGGCCTGCCCCATGCTCTGGGGTGCCAAGGGGGTCTCACTGGGTGCCAGGGGTGYACGGGACCCCCAGCTCTTCCGAAACGCTCCATCTCCCCGCTCTTGCCTGAGGCAGGAGCAGCTGCCTCAGCAGCTGCCTGGGGCAGCTCCTCCGCACCGGAGCCCCCGGGGGCTTTAGCCCCAAACTGCGCAGCTGGATCCCCCTTCCTTGGGGGGCTCTGGGCTCGGCTGGTTCCCGGGAGGCAGATCTGAATCCCAACCCTTTCTGCTCCGCAGCATCCCCAGGGCCCCGGTGCTGCCACCCGCTGATGGGGCCGCGGGCGCCGGGGCTGCCCGGCCTGGCAGCGCTTCACCCTCGCCGAGGAGCTGCAGGAGGTTTCGGCGGYGCCGCTCCGGACTTCTCCGACCTCTCCGAAACCACATAGACTCTTGTGTTAACAGCCAAACAAAAAATCTGATTTTTCTCCTACCAACTGTCTCAACACGGTGGTAGATTCATCTTGTTTTCAGGTCAACTTAGTGCTATAAACTTGGGGAGAAATACACAGGGAAGATATTTATTTTGTTTATGTTTTTTAGATTTCTGTACTCGCTTCTCTGCAATATAATAAAGTGCTGTGCTGTTTGCTTCCTAGGGCCCCGCGCTCATTAAAACGACACTTGCTCGAGGGAGCTTGGCTCGGTGGTGCCGCGTCTTGATGAGACATCGTGGGGGTCCCRTGTCCCCACGTGGGTTGGTCACCATGAGCCATTCCCGCCCCACAGGCTCTCGGCTGCTCCACTGATGATCCTTGGAACGGGATCTCTCCCTGTTTCCCCCTGATTTGYCCCCATTCCTTCTCCCTGATGATTTTCCAACTTGGCCAATCTCTGCTATAAATTAGCGTGAGGCAGGAGGCGGAGGGGCTGGGAGACACCCACAGAGCACCGGGCCAAAATGCAGGTGCTTTTGGAAAGGGCCCTGGCTCGAAACGGCCAATCGGCCTCTGGAGCAGCCAGGGAATGCTCAGGATGGAGGCCAGGGATAAAAYGAGGAGGAGGAAGTAGGGGTTGGTTCCGCACCTGGAGATGCTCGAAGAGGGCCATGAAGAGCAATGATCAGAAATGCAACTTGAGTTGCGTTTCTGCATTTCTGCCCTTTTTTTTGGGATAGCAGCACCTGAACCTGCTAATTTGTGGTGCATCCCTCATTCACAGATCCRGGCATCCTGACTGCACAGTGTGTCCCAGCTCTGCAGAACATCCCGGGTCTGTGTTGCATCCCTGCTCCATGGTGCATCCTCATTCCATGGATGCACCCCTGTTCCATGGGGCGCCCCAGTTCCACAGGTCCGGACACTCATTGCAGGCGGGACCAGGAGCAGCTCGCAGGGAAAGGATGGGATGCAGCCTGCCATGCCGGCTGCCCTAGGGGCCGGACCGGGCCGGGACAAGCCCACCGAGGGCTCGCCTTGCCCAGCTCGCCGTGCCACTCTCGCCGTGCCGAGCTCGCCGTGCCATCTTGTGGCCACGCGGCCGCACGGGGAGGATGCAGCAGATTGCCGGGAGGGCAGGGGTGGACGGGGCTGCTCCCCTGCTGCAGAAGGGACCCTGGGCATCGCGTCCCCCTGCACTGGGGACCCGCAGGGCACCGTGTGGCACCGTGCTAGGCCTTGCGATGGGCAGTGGGACCCGCTCTGTGTCTAGTCCCAGCGCCGGGGTCTCTGTGGATCCCGAGGTGCCGCCGGAATGGCCTGGACGTCCCGCGGTCGGTGGTGCCGGCGGGTGCCCTGGGAGACCGTGGGGCTGGGGGGCTGCGCTGGCGCAGGAAGCCGCTCACCCCACCCCGGGCGGCCCCGCTCTGCTCYGGGCGGCTCCGCTTCCTTCCCGCTTCCCCACCCGGCCGCTCCCAGGAGGCCACGGAGGCGGCCGGCCCGGCTGGCTGGGACACTTCCCGCCCGTCCCGCCCGGGCCAGCACGGGGAAGAAACCTCCCGTGGGGCTTCCTCTCCCACGGGATCCGGCCCAGGACAGGCGGCCGGGCACGGGTGGATGGGGCAGGAGGGGCAGAGCGGGGTCACCCGCYGGTCCGTGGGGTGTCCCTGCAGGAGCCCCGAGCTGCTGGACGCTCCCCCTGATCTGCAGCACCCCTGGCCTGGGAGCCCTCAGGTGTTAATGACACTGGAGGGAACTGCAGGGAGCTGGAGATGCCGAGTGGGAGATCCCTGAAGGTGTCCGTGGTGCTGCAGCCCTCTCTGCAGGGTGGATGCGGCTGCATGGTGCGGCAGGGTGCAGCTCGGCATGGCACGGCGCAGCTCGGCATGGCACGGGGAGGCACTGCGCGGTGTGGCATGGGGAGGCACTGCGCGGTGTGGCACGGGGAAGCACTGTGTCGTGTGGCACAGCTGAATGTCACCCGTCCTGTCCCGTCGGGTGACGGTGCTGCCCTCCCGGCCGGACCAGCGGCCGCTTGCGGCACATTCCTGCACCGGGCGTTACCCTGCGGCACAGGGTGTTTCCACCCATGGGTGCAGCCGGGCACTTCCCTAAGGCATCCGGAGATGGGTCCTCCCRCCACTGGGTATCCCTGGAGTTGGGTGTCCCTGAATAGGGGAGCTCCCAGAGCTGGGTGCCCTGGGGGTCCCGCTGCATTTGGGCCCCCGTGTGCTCTGCATGTGCTCCGTGACATCCCCTAGCCCGGCGCACGGCGTGCGCAGCTGTGACTCTGTGCAGAGCCTAACAAAGTGCCGCGGATTAATTATACATCAGGGCCTGGCTTGGAGCAGGTGCCAGGCGCAGAGCGTCACGCTCTCCCGAGCCGGCCGGCTGGGCGCGGAGCCGGCAGCTCCCTCGGCTTCCAGCGCTGCCCCAGCCACACTCAAATCCGCAGCTTCTTCCTGCTCCTTGCAGGAATTTGGGCGCTTCCCGCCGTCACAGCTCCAGGGGCCGCATTTCTCTCCCTGTTTCCAGCCTCAGGTCCCCGGCTGCAGGAGCATCGTCCCGCACGCTCGGGGCTGGCAGAGCCCCTGGCACTGGGATGTTCCACGGAAAAGTCACATTTCATTGCCACGTGTTGGCAGTGATGTTTTCCAGTTTTTTATCTATGTACTCAGCAACGTGCGGGCCCAAGGCAGCACCTTCTCGGCGCACAGCGAGCGCCTTCTCCCAGCGCTCGGAGCCTCTCAGGCCAGGGCTGCTCCGGGCGCAGCTTCCGTGGAAGTTTCTCTTCCTTAACAGGCCGCCTATTAATGGGAAATTGATCCCCATTCCTGGAATGTTTCAGGTGCAACCTCGAGCTGGTGGTTGCTCCCGCTCCAGCTCTGCACAGAGCTGCCTGGGCAGCAGCCGGGGTGGGAAAGTTCCCCTCCATGTCCCTCATCACCCCGGGTCAACCTGGTGTCCTCTTCATGTCCCCTGGTCACCCTGGATTCCCTGGGTCACCCTGCTGTCCCCTTCACATCCTCTGGTCACCCCGGAATCCTCTGGGTCGCCCCATTGTCCCCTCTGCGTCCCTTGGTCACCCCGGGATCTCCCGGGTCACCCTGGTGTCCCCTCCGTGTCCCCCGGTCACCCCGGGTCTCCCCGCTGTGCCCCTCGTGTCCCCCGCTCACCGGGGGTGCCCCCTCCGCCCCGCTCACCCCGTCCCCTCCGCGCGCCCGGGCAGGCCCCGCCCCCGCGGCCCCGCCTCTGCCCGCCCCGTCGCTCACGTGACCCCGCCCCCTCCTCGCCCACAGCAGAGCCTGGTCACGCCCCCAAACCCCTTAGCACCGCCCCTCCCCTGACCACGCCCCAATTCCTCAGCCTGACCCCTCCCCTGACCACGCCCTAAACCTCAACGCCCCGCCCCTTCTCTGACCACGCCCCCATTCCTGAGCATCGTCCTGCCTCCACTCCCTCCCCCAGCCTTTAACCACGCCTCTATATGTATGACCACGCCCCTTCCACAGCGCATACCAACCCAAAGCCACGCCCATACCCCGTAGCCCCGCCCCAAACCCCGCCCCGGCACTGGGGCAGCTCACAGCAAGGCCGCCCCTCGCCCCGCCCACCACCCGTTGGCTCCGCCCACCACCCCCACCCCTTCTTGGCCCCGCCCCAGGCCCCGCCCCTTCTCCCCGCTCCCGCCGCCGCCGCCGCCGCCGCCGCGCATAAAAGGTCGGCGCGGCCGCCGCCGCCTTCCCCCCCGCGCGGCCATGGCCCAGGAGCGGCTGCGGCCGCGGCTCTGCCACATGCACAAGGGCGAGAGCGGCTACGGCTTCCACCTGCACGGCGAGAAGGGCAAGAGCGGCCAGTTCATCCGCAAGGTGGAGCCGGGCTCGCCGGCCGAGGCGGCGGGGCTGCGCGCCGGGGACCGCCTCGTCGCCGTCAACGGCCTCAACGTGGAGCAGGAGACGCACCACCAGGTGGGCCCGGGGCGCGAGCTTCCTCCTCCTCCTCCTCCTCCTCCTCCCCGGTCCGCGGAGCGTGAGCGGCCCCCGAGGCCGCGGAGCTCCGGGCTGCGGCTGCTGCAGGAGTTCGGAGCTTTGTTCCGCCTCCTTAAAAAAAAAAAAAGAAAAAAATCAAAAAGTGTTTTTTTTAACTCCGAAAGTTGCAGCCTTTGCAAAGCTGGAGGCAGCAGATAAGCAGGGCCGGCCCCGCGCCGCGTATCGGGGCGCGCACGGCACGGGCGGCACCGCTGGCCTGCGCGGAGCTGCCAGGGTCGCGCGCCCAACCCCGGCGCGGTGTCCGGGTCCTGGCCGTGCCCGCATGGAGCAGAGCAAGGAGAACGCTGGCACTTGTGCCCGGGAATCACGGGTCGTTTCCACGCTTTGCCCTGCGGACGAGGCTCCATGGTTTCGCCTCCCTGCACCCAGCTTGCCCCTTGCAGAGTGTCCACCAGCCACGGAAAAACATGGAAACCGCGGCCACCACGGACAATGATCCTCATTCAGCCGGGCCGCCTGCTGCTCCCGGCCTGGGCGCTGCCTCAGCTTTTGCTCGCCCGTGGCTCAAAACAGGGGCAAATGCGCAGATTGGGTCACTTCTTGCATAAACCAGCCTGGGCGAGCGGGGGGTGATGCACCCGCTGGAGCACGATCCGAGGGGCGATCCGGGTGCGTTCCCAAAGATGGGAAATGGGGGCTGTGAGGCAGCTTGGTGCAACCAGGGGCACTGCCCCGTCCTTCCCTGCTCCAAGAGCCGCTGCTCCAGGGCCATGCGCTCAGCTCTCCTCCCTGCTCCAGGTCGTGCAGCGCATCAAGGCCGTGGAGACGGAGACGCGCTTGCTGGTGGTGGACAAGGAGACGGACGAGTACCTGTGCAGCCTGCGGCTGCCCTGCACCGAGGAGCTGGCGCACGGCGGCCTCCTGCCCGGCCCCGCGCCCGCCAGCGACAACGGCGACGTGTGGAAGCCGCAGCTGGAGCTCGCCGGCGGCAGCCTGCCCCGCCACTCGCACAGCTTCTCCTCGCACGGCAGCAAGAAGGTGAGGGCACGGGGGGGACGTGGCGAGCGACCCCCTCCTGCGCCTTCCCCGTGTGCCGCCCGATGGAAAAATCCTGCCTGTGTGCAGCCTTGGGGGCTGCTTTGTGCCCCATGGAGGGTGCCCTGCTGTGCTCTGCGCCCTTGGGACCCCACGGAGCTGTGATGGGAACCAGCGCCTTCCTCTCCCGTTGTTTTCAGGAGGGAGGGAACATCTGGGGCGAACGTGTTCTCAGCTTTTTGCTTATGGAAGGAAATTGGCTTATTTTCTTTAAGCAGCCTGGGTCCGTGCTGCGCCTCGGCAGCAAGCGCCTCTTATTAGTAAACTCCTTTCCAAAAAGGAAAGAATTTGAGGTGGAAATGGTCCAGTTTCCAGGGCTGGCTGGCGGCTGGGGCCGGGCCGCGGCGGAGGCGGCGCGGCCGGCGCTCGGGAGCCACGCGGGCAGCGCCGGCCCCGCGCGGGACGCGGCCGCTTCCCGGCTCCCCGTTCCCGGCTGCGGAGCCGCAGCGCTCCGGGGAGGCTGCAGAGCTGAGGCCTTTGGGGCTCTGCGGCTCCCTCCGGAGGCCGGTGCTCCCGGGCGCCGCGGGGCTGGGTGCTTGGCACGGATGCAGCCGCGGGCACAGCAGGGATTTCCTATCCCGCCTCTGTTCCTGGTGCTGGGTGAGGTCCAGCAGTTTGTACCGACGGGAAGTCGGGCGAGGGGAACGGGCCGGTCCCGGCCCTTCCGGCTCTTGGGCTTCGGCTCCTCCGAGGGGCGGGAGAGCCGGGCTGGGCAGGAGGACGGTGCCGCACGGGCCCCTTTGGCACTGCCCTGGGCTGGCCAGGACTGGCTGGACAATGAGTGTTGTAATGCATTTTCACTGCAACCCTGGTGCTGCTGCTCCCGCGGCTGGAGCGTCCTTCTGTGCAGGGGCTGCAGCTGCCTCCATGGGCGCTGGGGTTGCTCCGTGCAGCCAGGAGCACGGAGTGAAACCCGTGGGAAACCTGGGCCGGAGCCGGTGACGTCCTGGCCAGGGCGGCGCTGACGTCCCGGCCCTGCCCTCGGGTTTCGGCTGTGCAATTCCCCCCGCTGCGGGGGAGGCCGGTGCTGCGGGCCCGGAGGAGGAGGAGGATGAGGCTGAACGCCCTGTTCCTGGCAGTGCTGGACGCCCACGCGTGGGTCTGGTGCATGAGCCGGCGGCCGGCACAGCCCGTCCCGGGGCAACGTCGAGGTCTGTGGGCACCGTTCCCACTGTGGGCAGCACTTCCCTGGGCTGCCCTTGGAAGGAGAAGCGGCTCTTCCCTGCCGGCTGCCGCAGGCAGGAAGGTTAACGTGTGTCCGTGGCCCCAGAGCCCCAGCCCCCGGGGCCTCGTGCCTCCTGCAAGCACCGGAGCACCATGAATAATTCAGGCCGTGTTTAAAATCGGGCTGGCTGCCTCGGGGAGCAGCCGGCAGGGCCCGCGGCCAGGAGCGAGTGCGGGGCCCTGACTGCGGTGCCAGGGAGCAGGTTACCGAAATGCTGGGCCGGCTGGCACCGTGATGGGCACAGAACAGGGACCCTGTGGCCCAGGGACCCTGTGGTGCAGGTGTGGGGCCCGCGGAGCCCCTGGCCCTGCTCCCGCGGGGGCTCTGGGTGCGGATGCTCCCTGGCTGGGCTGTGCTCCCGCCTCTCCAGGTGTGTTTGTAGGGGAAACAAGGGCGGCAGGGCTGGCGCGCTGCAGTTCCCCACCAGCCGGGTGACACCGAGCCGTGACGCAGGAGCCACCGGTGCCAGGAGACCCATTGTCCGTGGCCTCTGGCCCCTAAATGGGCCTCAGGGCAACCTCCGTCTCAATGGATAGAAACAGGGATGCGGGAAGTGCTGAGCGGGGCTGGTCCCCGTGGCTGCTCCAGGCACCGGAGCTTGTGGCACCGGGACACGAGCGGCTCCGGCTCCGTGCCGGCTCCCGTCCTCCTCCGGGGTGGCTGCCGCTGCCAAGCGCTGCTTTTCCCACCCGGCATTTCTTGTCCTTGGGAAACAAAACCTCGTCTTGTTCAATCACGGCCGGGCTTTAGCAGCAGGAATTTCAAAGCAGGGAATTAGGGGCCAGTTGCTAATCGGCCCTTGCTGGCAGCGTGGGGGCCGGTGCTGGTTGTGGGTGCTGCTCAGGTGCTCCCCGCTGTGCCCCGATGCTGGGGCGCTGCCCTGGGTGCCGCTGGTGGGTGCAATCCGTGCTGTTCGTGTCCACCTATAAGCAGGAGATGGTCTCCATAGGATGCAACAGGTATCCGTTGTGGTGGTGGCTGGTCTGCTGCAGCCACCTTGTTGGAAACCCTGGGAAAATCCAGCCTTGGCTTGGGAACTGCAGCATCACCCTTAGCGTGCAGCTCCTCCAGGAGCAGAGAACTGCAGAACTGGAAGAAAAATGGATGTGAGCTGCTTGAAAGGGGCTCCTAAAGCTGCCAGCGTCCCCAGGCTCAGCAGCGTCCCCTTCCTGCAGCTCCTGTGCCAGGTCCTGGATGCACCAGGTGCCTCCGGCTATCCTAATCCTGGGATCCATAGGAGGCCCTGCAGGCGCGGGGGCTCGGCCGGCAGCGGGCGTGGGGACACGGATCGTGTCCCTGGGGGTGACCACAGTGTTTCCCTGGAGCCCGCAGGTGCAGCGCGGAGGCGGTGAATATTTCCCGCGGTGTTTGGGTCGGGAGTAAGGGCCGAGTTGCTGCTGCAAATAGCTCGCGGCGCTGCGGGAGGAGCGGCGCCGCACAGATGTTTCCAGAGCACGCTGCCAGCTCAGCTGAGGCCCAAAATTTAGGGCTTGTAGGATAACCGCAAAGATGTAATAAAACTGAACACGAGCAGAAATGTCTGCAGTAATTACGTGATTTTTTTGGAGGGGGAAAAAAAAAGTAAATGCATGCTTGAAATTGAAGCGCTTCCCTGCTGCTCTCCTGCTCTGCTCTGAGCCTGGCTGCAGGCTGGGAGCTGCAGCCTTGGGGTGCAAGGCTGCCACCCAAGCCTGGGTTAAGGCTTGGAAAATCCTTTCGGAGCTGTGCAAGGAGCCTTGGCCGCTGCTGGCTATTCCGGGCGCTGCTATTTCTGTGGACGCTGCACAGTAGTCGCAGCTTTTCTGCTGTTTTGGTTTCCTTGAGGCCGCAGCTTAATCACAGCCTTGGCGCAGGGCAGGGCGGGCGTGAGGAAGGTCCCGGTTTGTGCCGGGTTTCTCGCGTCCCTGCCCTGCTCCCGGTGCTGCTGGGGGACGCGTGGGCACAGGGCTGCGGGTGGCATGTGGGGACCAGGCATGCCCAGCCAAAAATGGCACCTTTTGCATTAAAAACCAGGACTTTCCAGCAGTCCAGCTACGCCAGGGGCTCGGCTCCCATCCCGCCATGCCAGGCTCTTGCCCAAGATGAGCACTTCAATCCTGTGGAAGGCTGCACAGAGCCAGGGAGGCGCCGGCAGGACCTCGACATGCCGGAGCCCGGCTCTGGGCTGCAGCGTTACCCGGTGCCGGCTCCATGGGGATGCTTCCCGCATCCCGCCGAGCGGCTGTTCCCGCGGAGCCGGCGCCCGGGAGCTGGGATGGCCGCAGGAAGCTCCTCCCGTGGCCGGGAGCGTCCCCCCACGGTGGCAGCTTCCGCCCCACGGTATTTTTAGCGCGGCACAAAGCGGCCGAGTCGGAACGCGGGGATGCGCCGCGGGGTGGGATGCATCCCGCATCCCCATGCACCGGGACGGCCTCCCTCGGGCGCTGCGCAGGGCCCTGCAGAGCTCCGGGAATCGTTCGGGAATGCTTTCCCCTAAAAATGTGAATAATATTAATATTAAACGGAGCAGGAGAAAGGGCAACCGGGTTGCGCTGGCGCTAGCGGCGGCCCTGCTCGCGCTGGCTCCCCGCCAGCCGCGCTGCGGCTCTGCCCGACGGCACAAATATTAAATAAACGGCTGCAGAGAAATTAAAAGGCTTTCCTGGCAGAAACGGGGCCCTCGGTGCCCGCCCTGGCAGCGGCGCCGCTGGGGCTTCCCTCGCGCCCTGGTGCCCAGACCTGCGCCGGGGACGCGGCGCCCGGGACGGGGCTCTTTGCAGCAGGGTTGGCATTTTCCTGTGCCAAAATGGTACTTTTCGCAAGGAAACGCTTTGGTTTCCATACAGCTCCACAAAGTCGAATTCTCTTTTGTTAGCTTAAAACTTTTTTTTCAGTTTTGCATTTTTCTTTTCCATAAGCTCCAAAGGAATTTGTGTTTTCCTAGCTCTTCCTCCAGGACTGTCCCTTGTGCCATTTTGCAAGGCGAGCGGGTGAAATCCTGGAGGAATTTGTGGGGGGCTAATCCTGTTCCCGGCTAATCCGTTCCAGCCGAGGCCGTGCGCGGTGCCGGCCGCTCAGGCTGGGAGCAGATCCACGGAGGGGCCAGCGCTACGTCATGGTGCTCCGGGAGTGGAAACACATGGAGCAAACGTGCCGCGTTTGCGCTGAGTCTGCAGCCGCGCGCCATTCCCAAATGAGACCTAGGGAGCTCTGTACGGGATGCATTCGGCTGCATCCCGTACGGATCTGTGGCCTCGGGAGGCTGAGTTAGGGAGGGAGATCAAACCCTCCGTCAGTGAAGGGTTTCTGCACGTCCTGCTCCCTGTGGAGATGCAGAGTTGCAAAGCAAGCCGTTGGTGCCATCGCTTCACGCGAGGTGACCGCACGTCAGCCGTTTCCCCATGCGGGTCCAAGCTCCGATTCCCGCCTTGGCTGCGGATCCTGTTAGGGAGGGTCCCAGCAGGTGCTGGGACAGGCGGCAGGTCACACAGGGAGCCGGGAAAGGCTGCCCTGGGTAATGCTCTTAATTCCTCCCCTGGGGCTGTTTGTAGAGGATTTAATTAAGATGCAGTGCTAATTAGTGCTAAGCAGGGTGAGTAGCTGTTTCGGCCTGGAAAAGTCCAGAGCGCCCTGGGGATGGGGATGGGTTTGCAAATCCACCTTGCAGGGGAGGCCGGGCACCAGCAGCCGCTTTTCCTGCGCCTCTGCTTCTCCGCTTCCACACGGCCCTTCCCGTGGAGCGGCTGGGCTGCGGGAAGGGGGAGCGGTGCAGGGGCAGCTCCGGCACCGGGGGCCGCTTTCGGGCTGGTATGCGGGAATGCCGGAGCGCGGCAGCCTCCCGGCTCGCTGCGGGCCTCGGTGTGGAGGATGTGCTCGGCCTCCGCCCCGCTTCCTCCGGGAGAGCGGCCGCCCCGGCCAAGACAAACAGCGGCCGTCCCGGCGGAGCGCCCTGGCGCGGAGCGGGGCCGGGTCCCGCGCGCCCTGCGCGTTGCAGCCTGCGGCTCCAGCACAGCCCCCGGCAGGGCGATTTTCCCTTCTGCAGGGGTGGATTTTTCCCCCCTTTCCAGAGGTTGTGGCTCAACCTGGCACCTCACCCAGACCTGCCCGGGGGCACTGAGCAGTGTGTGGTGCATCCTGTGCCTGTCTGGACACATTTGCACTGAAGCAGAGAAAATCCCTGGTTCTTGCAGAGAAAGTCCCCAGCCGCAGGGCTCCGGAAGGATTCCCTGGGAATCCCAGAGCTGTTTGGTGGGAACGGGGGTGCGATGGAGTCGAGCCTCCCTGCGGCCCCTGTCTGCCCCCGGGAGCAGGGCGCATCCTCCCGCTCTGGCCGGGAGCAATCCCAGTGGCAGGGCCGGTGTGCGTCGCTCCGGCCGGCGCGGCCGCTCCGGATCCGAGCCCACGGGGAGGCTGTGGAGCCCCTGGCTGAGCCCGCGGCCGGCCGGGCTGGGGCCTTCCCCGCCGCTGCCCCCAAAAACGCGGTTTTCTCACGCCGGAGCAGACCCCGCGGGGCTGCAAAGCAGCGGATCCCTGCTCGGCAGCTCGTGCAGCGCCTTGCCGGCCGCCGCTGGCCCCTTTCCAGCGCTAATTGGAGCCCGTGCGCTCCCGGCACGCGCCGTGGCCCGCCCTGGCTCCCTCGGTGCTGGGCTCTGGCAGCGGAGCCGCGGGAGCATCTGCAGGGAGCATCCGCACGGCACGGAGGCAGCAGCGTCGCTCCTGCCCCTTGCAGCAGCATCGGGCTGCTCCAAAAGCCAGGAATTAAAAAAGAGCCATGAATCCTCTTCCTGACGCTGTTTTATTGGGAAAGTTCGAACCTGTCCTGCAGGAAGGGGGCTGAAACCAGCCCTTGAGCCCTCTCCGGCCGAGGTGAGGAAAACAGCCCTGATGCGAGTTACCTGCTCTCTTGCAAGCTCTTAGCAAGTGTGTTTGCAGGCTGCTCTTCCCAATGCAGCCCATGTCCGGCTGCTCCATGGATGCTTTGGCAGCGGGAGCCCTCGGCAGAGAGCCTGGATGCTGCAGGAGCCGCAGTGAAAGCGTGAGAGCTGCCGGCACCCAACCAGGTCCTTCGGTATTATTATAGCACGTGTTTCATTGCTGATTAACGTCTTGTTTATGCTTTTAGGAACGAACCCGTTCAAAAGGTGTTTCCTAAAGCGTTTTCCTTCCCAAATGCCGCTGATTTATGTCATGCTGAAGCTGCAGGGCTGCTGTGGCAGTGCAGCCCGTTGCTGCGTGTGCGTGCACGTATGTGTGAACGTGTGCACATGTATGTCCACCTGTGTGGGGGTGAGTGCATTAGTGCTGGTAGGTGGGATATAATGTTATTGCTTTTTTATTCCAACTTGTGCAATTAGCAGCCTGGGGCAGTATCTAGGTACCTAGAAGTAACACAAATGGCCTTATTGCATGGAAACGGGCCCAAAACGCAGTTGTTTTGCATGGTTTTTCTGGCACGTGTGGGTTCAGCTGAAGGCAGCAGCTCCCGAGCTCTGGTGGAAGGAGCTGTCGTGTGCCCGCGGGTGCCGTCCTCGGGAATGCTGCGCTGTCCTCTGGAATGCTGTGCCGTCCCCAGGAACGCTGCGCCGGGGACGCTGTGTGTGCACAAAGGCGCAATTCCCCCGGGAGCCGAGGAAATATCTTCCCAGAACACAGCTGGGGAAATGCTGGCACAGGTCGTCAAGCAAATAAACAGCAGAGCTGGCGAGAGCTCCGGCTGCAGCAGGCGCGCGAGCGCGAGCCCGTGAAGGGAAAGGGGCCGGGGGGCTCCCCGATTCCGAACAGGGGCTTTGCAAAGCCGTGGGCTACGGCCCCGTTTTCCCAGCTCCTGGGTCAAGCGCTGGGATGTGTCTGGAGCGGGGGCTGCTGCATGGCTGGGATTACTGTGTGTTGTTCAGAGCAAAGGTAGTCAAATAGGGACGTTTTGTTAATTGTCTCCTTTTTTTTTCTTTCTGAATTCTCTCAAGTTAAGCACCTTGGCCTCAAGGTTTGCTGGTGAGGGCAGGGTCCCGGGCGGGATGCTGCTGCTAAATCCGCCCTGCGGCGCAGTGGCTCCCGCCTTCCCCGCGGTGGTTTTCTCTGTGCTGCCGTTTCTGAGGTTCTGACCCCCTAAAATGTGAGGGCACGGGGGCTGGCGGGAGAGGCCGGTGCGGATCCGGGAGGTGACGCCGGGCCGTGCACGCAGGGCTGGCACCGCCGCTCGCGGGGGTGCTCCGAGGCCGCTCCGAGGTCTCCGCGGCGGCTCCGCGGCTTCAATCATTTCCTGTTTAGTGCAGCGCCCGGAGCACCGCGGGCCGGGCCGGGAGCGTCGCCGCGGGTGGGAACGGCCGGCTCGGGGCCATGGGAACGCGGCGGCCGCGCGGGGTTGAGCCCGTCACCCTGAGTGCTGCTCACGGGTTGTCTTTGCTCCTGGGGGCTTGGTGCCCTGACCCGCTGCCATCGGGACGCCCCGATGCCCCGGACCCCCGCGGGCTCCGCTCTCGCTGCCCCGCTCCCGCCTGCCCGCTCGCGGGGCCGCGCGCTCCGGGCCCGTCTTGGCTGGAAGTGCCGGGGCCGCGGCCAGATCCGCCCCCGGCGCCGTGGCTGGCCGAGGGTTCCCAGCGCGCCGGCAGCCGGGGCGGATGCTCCGTGGCCGCGCAGCTGTGGGCTCCGGCCGCGCGTGTCCACAGGGACCCAATGCATTCCATGCGGAATCGCTTCCCAGGGGAGGCTGGAGGTGTTGGGACTAGCCCAGGGCGGTTCCTGGGGTACCCAGCCAGCCGGCTGCCACGCAACACTGGAGAAATCCTGAGATTCCCAGTGTGTCCTGATGCCAATCCCGCTGGGATGCAGGCAGATGTGATCGGGGGAAAAGCGGTCATAAGTCAGGGAAATTTCCATCTGGGCTTTGCATGGTATTTATGGTTTTCCCACAAGTGTGGCTGGAGGGGGAATAAAAAGCAAGCGATCCCAAAGCCTGGGAGAGGGAAGGGAGCAGTACGTGATGAAAATGTGACACTGGGGCGCGGGGAATGTTTCTCTGCAAGCAGCAGTGAGGAGCCGGTGCGCTGCATTTGCAGGAGCGCAGGGCCCGCGCGGGCACCCGGCTCCACTTCCCGGGGTGTCCAGGCCTCCAGCTCTGCATCCTGACGCGCCCAGGTCTCTGGCTCCGCATCCCGGGG